GTCTTGATTTTTGAAATTGTACTAAGAGGAAAAACAGGAACTGAGTGGTTTAATAAGAGAATTTATATGTTTGAAAATGCATGCATAAATACAGCTTTTCCATTAGAACATCAATGAAATTTTACTTTGATTCATTTGTTGCTTTTCATGAATATAAACAATATATTTTCATGAACTTGTGTTAGATTTTGGCTATAAACTTCTCAACTGAAAATATCTCACTTTCAATTTCTTACATCTAATCTCAGCATTGCTTCAAAAACTTTGCCTTATATAATTTCAGCTAAACAAATTAAAAACAGCAAAACAATTTTTTAAAACAACAGATAGTTTTATTTAGTAAGTTTTTTACTTAAAACAATAAAAAATTTGAAATAACTGGAATCCTTGCTTTGAAACAGCCAATATTTATTATTCCTAAATATTAGCTAAATACACACAATAAAAGAAAACAATGCAATTCAAATTATCTTTGCCTTGAATTAGCTCATTATTAACTTTATCTGGATTAATGCGTTCATGGATTACATCATTAACTTTCTCTGGATTACACAAGTAACACGTTTTTCACTTAATCACTTTCAATTTCTCTTTTGGAGGCATTTTCAAGCAATTTTAAACAAGGATTTACTGAACATAAAACTAGATTTTAAAAGAAAATAATTTTCTTAAATTCACTAAATGCAACTGAAGAGGCGATAGGAAAGATGATTTTTATTGAAATTCAAACCAAGACAGAATGACGAACTGAATTACACTAGAGAAATACAAAATTACAAGTCACTGCTTAAAGGATTTGTGAAGATGCTATGAACATGCAGAAAATTTCTTCTTCTACTTACCATCCATATAGCAATTTAATGTTTATTTAATCTGAGAATTGTTTATTTATTATATTCACATAATAATATTATCTTTGCCTGCTGGTTTGCAGAATCTAACCAAAATAAAATTTAAGATTCTAAAAACATGTCATTAATTACAGAATATTAGGAAGAATTTTTTTTTTTTTTATGAACACTTCCGATTTTTAACATAATTAGGCCCAGATATACTAGCATGACATATTACAGTATTACCAAATTTGTATAACTCTCCCCTTTTTTAGCCCAGAAGGGCTACTAGTCCCAAAATGGCATTTTACATTGAATCACTAAAAGCATTGTATCACTTTTCAAATTGTTGCCACCAAATATTATTGCCTTGTATTATATTTAAAGAAATTAAGTAATGAAGAATCTGCATGACTGAATGTATGTTTCTCGTACAGTCAAAAGTCGTTAATTCGGACACCCATAATCCGGAATGATCCATAATCCGGACCTCAAAGCTAAAAACTTTCTGTGCATGCGCCACCTCGGCACATGCGTTTTACACGTGCGCGTAAGACCTTGACTACTGCGCATATGCGTGTGCGCAAGTGCAGAATACATTTTCGCCTGCGCGTTTAATGTATAACAGACGGTGTACGCTAAAATTATCTAATTATCTATTTCAGTTAATGTTAATGATTGCGTTGTTCCTTAATCTTCAAATTGGATCCCGCTTATTATTTTTTGCAGACTGTAAGAGCAATTTTATAAAAGTAAACTTGAACTTTCGATTATGTCAAATAGAATTTCCGATGCTGGAACTTCCAAAGGATCTGCAAAACGAAAGTATGTTTCGATGTCCAACAAACAAAAAGTGGAATTGCTGCAAAAAATGGATAAAGACATGAAGAATGTGACAGAGAGGTTAGCGAAAACGAAAAAATTTCGATTGACAAATTAGTCGGTATTCTCGGCACAGTAATTAACGGGACTTGAACAGCGGAACTTTGAACAAGAAATTATGTCTTTTTATAGAATTAAAGAGAAAGTATTATCACATAAAATGAAGCAACTTAAACAACTTACATTGAGAGAAATGTTTAATAAAGTAAACAAATAAATATTAAGTTTTTTTTTTTTTTTTTTTGTAAATTTTGATACTTTTTAGATGATAATTGCTCTTTATTTCATAAATTACGGTTTCATATTTTTTATTTTAGAATTTCTGCATGCCATCTTACGAGATTTAAACTGATGATCTATAATCCGGAATCGCCGAAGTCCTGACGAGTCCGGATTAACGACTTTTGACTGTATTATGAAAAAACAACGATACGTAGAGACATCAAATTTTGAATAACATAATCTTCCACCTGAATCTGGAATTTGTTTTATTTATTCATATTTTATAAAACTTAAACAAATTTTTGATTAACAAACTCAGTGATTTCAAAGAGAAAAATGGCAACACTGTACGGAGAAAAAAATTTTTATCTCCAGCATGTGAGACTGTCTATCAGAAATTCTAAAGATATGCTGTTTTTAAATATTTTTAGCCCAAAGGGACATTAGCCCGAATACTCTTGAAACATGTATGGGTGTATAAATGAAAAAAAAAAACCTTTATACAAAATCTGAAAACTTTCAGACTTTATTTTTTAATTTTTTGAGTTAAGTGTTTTCAGGATTTTTGATTTAAGTGTTTTGAGCATTGACTTCTAGGCTGCAGCCTCTGGACATTTCAATTAATAAACCATTTAAGAGTTTTATGCAGAAAGAGTGGATAAAAAAGATTGAGGCGGCTACTTATGACATCACACTAAGAGGAAAGAGTGAAACAGCCATAAATGTTAAGCGTATTTGAGTAGGTAAAGACCTGGTAGAAAATTTAAAAGTGAGACTATCAATAAGATCTTTTAAGAAGCGTGGAAAGTGGCAAATCCAACGATAGTGACAACTGAAAAAGTGCAAATAACTGCATATATGATTTTGGTAGCAATGATGACAAATTTCTGGGATTTTATGTCTATTTTATGTTCTACTCTAAACAAATGCTGATACATTTGCTATTTTTTTAATGCAATAGTTCTATTGTTAAAGTAAGTACTTTGATCAGTTTTGTCTGATTCAACTACTTTTGTAAATTCTAACTTAATACACCACAGTGTATCTTATGTACTGGTGTGTCTTATATATTGGGACAGTATAATTTTTTATCAAAGTGAAACTTATTTTATCCATATATAAATAAATATTAACATCAGGTTTACGTGAACATCAATTCTGCTAAAATTTTTAATAATGAATAAGTAAGAAACATGGTATTAAAATGGCCAAACTTGAATTAGCATAAGCAATGAACAGTTAAAGAGAAGAAAATATGTGTTGCCAGACAACAGATCATATGTGCTACAAAATATGGACAAACATTTGCAAGCTGTATAATAATATAAGGTCTAGCCATAAAGTGATGCGACTTGTCTTTTCCCATCACTTCACCAGCTGGCAGTGCATGTGAGCCAGTTAAGTTGTAGACATTAGGTATATTTTTTTTTTTAAAGAGAGATGAAAAATGAGCAATGCCTTTACCGGAAATCGAACCACGGACCTCTGGGATATGAACCATGAACCCAGCATGCAGACCACTACACTACGAAGGCATGCTAAGAAGGCGGGAGAAATACCTTATAAAGTTTGTGGAGAGGGCTTTTAGCATTACAATGTTTCCAAGGTCCTTCTGCTCCAAAATGATATTCTGGAAGTAGATGAGCACTGTTTTCATAAACCTCCTGTTAATGTTTGTGTTTACAATGCACCAAAGAGAATATTATTGAATAATGTTATGCAACTGAGCTCTCTGCTAAATGGCAAAAGCCTCGTTGACACACATCAAATGACTGAGAAAGCTTATAGGGGCTCTGCTCTCTCATATTCTCAAGTTTTTATGTGTTTGAAGTTGCTTAAAACTGGCCAGGAAGAGGTGAAGGATGATTCATGTTCTGGACGACCATTAACCAGCAAAAGTTGACGAAAATGTCTATCATGTTCGTGACTTTTTAAATATTGATGTCTGAATGAATGCTTGGATTATCAGAGACTCTCAATATTATGAAAACCAATGTGTATAACATTGTTTGTGGCATTTTGCACGCATGAAAATTATATGCCAAGTTGGTCTCACAAATGTTGACTGATGACCACAAGAACAATCAAGTGACCAGCACAAGGGTACTTCTGGAATTTGTGTGAAACAGTACTAATTTCATGGGCAAAATGACGAATCATGGGCATTCAAGTACGACCCACAGAAGAAACCCCAAAGTTCCAAACCTTGGCACACCTCATGTCTTCCTTGTCACAAACAAGGAAGAAGAGCAAATTAAAAGTGAAAAATATGTTCTTGTTTTCTTCGTTGCCAGGGATATGGTCCACAATGAATTTGTACCCCAAATGTTTGAGAGCCAATTGCACCTACTGCGTGCAAGTACTTAACAGATTCAGATAAAAAAAGGGAGCTGCACCTGGCTACTGCACCACAGCAATACTCCCAGTCACATTGGCCCACCAGCGGCTGAGCAGTGAAATCGCTAAACACAGGTAGTTTGGACCGAGGTTCGAATCCCACGAACAGGCTGGCTGCATTGATGTTCCCGTGGTTTTCCTCATATGAAACATGCAAACCAACCAGTTTTTCTTAGAAAGTCCTCCACAAAGGCATTCCTCCCTTATGGAAGATAACCCCCGAGTGCTTTTTCATAATTTATTAAAGCGAACCAAACCAACCCAGTCACATCACTTCATGCATTCAGGACGCCAAACAAAGTGTGGCAATATTGTTCCTAACTGACTTGATGTGACCCTAGCAGACTTCTTTTTATTCCTTAGGATCAAGATTTTGGAATTGGTGAAGAGATCCAAATTACTGTGACAAACGTTCTAAATAACGTCCTTTTCAAAGCCTTCCACAGCATGCCTATCGTGCACTGACAAGTTACTGGCAAAAGTGCATCGACTGCCAAATGATGTACTTTGAGGAGTTTTATACATTTGTTATGATATAGTGAATAAAATGTTTCTTACTAACTTCATTTCATTACTTTCCAAATATACATTGTATATGCTATTATTTACATTAAAAATATTCAGGCAAAAATGCATTATACAAAATAAAGAAAAGAAATTCGATACCTAACTTCAGAATGTCAGCATTGCAAAAAATCTTTTCTATCATATAATCCCAGCATTTTGGTTTTAAAGAGTCTTGCAAAGCAAGAATATCTAATAGATAGATTGAATCCCACACAGCAAGCTGAAACAACGATAGCCTGAAAAAAAGAGTAAAAAAATTCCTAGTTTGTGAAAATTTATGCACAAATAATAATTGGAAATATTTAAACTAAATATAGCAACCTACTGCAATTAAATAACCATCAAAAATTCCCAACTGCTATTCTGCTACCACGGGGTTTTTTTTTTTAGGTAGAAAAACCCACCTGTTGACCAAAATTGTGATATAACATTTTTAAAGTAAAAGGCTAAGATAAAAATATGAAGTTACAGATAATTTCTTTTTCCTGAAGTTAAGCACATTTTAATGTAATAATATAATCATCGTGAGACAAACTCCTATAATCATGAAATACTGTACAATTTAACGAGGCACAACTTTAATTTTACAATTATGATGTACAACATAAGTTTTAATTTTTTTTTTCGTTTATCAGATGAAAAGATAGAGTTTTTCTCAGAGTACCATTTATCATTATGATGCTACAGCGTAACTTCAAAATTCTTTATTTATTTTAAAAAGATCAAATTTAAATGGTTTTTTACACCATGCTAAAACTCAAACGTTTTGGAAGATAAGCAGGTGGATCATAATTACTCATCTGTTATTGCTTCTTGAACTGAATACTAAATCTCGTTCTCCTGAATCCTAGGCCTTTCTCAATTAATGAAATTCTAATCAAATCATTTGAGATTATCATTACATTTAAACTCCATCTAAGCTTATAAATTACAATGATTATTCCAAATTCTTGGTTATTTAAAATTTCAGTCAAATAATATATCAATAATTTTTTTCAATTAAAATTTCTCAATTTTTTCAATTCAAGTCTTTTTTTCTGACTTGAATCAAATCCTTTTTTCTGACTCTTTATCAATATTCCATACTGGTTGATACAATGGTAATTTTGGCGAGTCCCTATCATTTGTTTTGATCGTTGAATCTTGTAATGAAAATTAACTATATTATTATTTTTTAATCAGCAGCTAAAAAGAATATACATTACTCATTATTTTTAATAATATATATACTATTTAGTTTATATAACTAAATTAGCAACAATTATCTGTTTCAGTTCTAATACAGAAATGTTATATTTTATGATAGACACACATGGGAAAATGTTTTTATTATAAAATTATTTAAATTGCATAGATTATATTAATAATATGTAATGGAATTTTATGCACAGATAGATGGCACTCATTTTAAAATTCAAATAATAAGTCATTCTAAAATTCAAGGCACATGCTTACATTGTTGTAACACTTGGAGATACTCAATTTTGGAAGCTTCGCTATTTTTTTATTATGAAATCATGTTATCTGTGCTACTGTAAGCACCTTCCGAATTATCCGAGTAATTATTGCTTTAACAAAAGCAGAAACTGTTCTTCAAAATGAAACAGTTAGGGATAGAAGGGAAAAAAAAATGATTAACTAGATGAAGTAAATAAACAATTGCCTGATAAAAATGCTATGTTAAACATATTAAATACTAGCATAGTCTTTGATTAAACAGAAAGAGCTTAAAACTGAAACAATAGGTAGCAAAGAATGTGCAGCAAAAATAATTAAATGGAATTCTACAGGTATTTGAAAGAAAAAACTAAACCAAATCAAAGTGTAAATACTTACTCAGATAATTCGCAAGATGCTTTCAGTAACACAGATAACATGATTTCTTAATTAAAGAAAATAACAAAGATTCTAAAATTGAGTATCTCCAAGTATTACGACAATGTAAGCATGTGGCTTGAATTTTAGAATGAGTTTCAAATGCCATTCATGAAAATAAGTTTATATGATGCTGAAAAATTTTCATACCTGAAACATTTGTTAGCGAGAATTGCACTGAATGTAGGATTTCAATAAAGGATTTGCTCTAATGAGTGAATATTACAATAAAAATATCATTTTGCTAAACGAGTATTTCAGAAGAAATGACATCATAATTAATAGTCATATGATGAAATTACTAAGCCTAGATCCAGTGAAGAGCACGTTATATCATAGCACTTTGAAAATTGTATGATGAAGTAGAAAACTAATATTCGATTCCTAGAAACTTTAAATGAAGTTATGGAAAGTTATGGTCATTTATTATGTCCAATTTTAATGAAATTGGTTCTAGAAGAGATAGACTTAGAATATAAGAAAAGGAAATCAAAAACAGAGTTTGACATTTTGCAATTAGTTAAATTCTTAAAAATTGAATCAGAATGCCAAAAAGGTTCTAGCTCATTATACAATTCGAAGAAACATCAAAATATGATGGTTACCAACAATTACTTTAAAGACGAAATAAATATCAGCTCCTTACACAGTTCGAAGAAATACAAAAATATGATGATTGCTAACAATTACTTTAAGGATGAAATAAATAATAAAACAATTTAAGCGTATTAGTTAACTGATAGTTACATTTTCAAACAATGTAAAATTTAGTTGTGTATTTTGTGATGCAGACCATGATTCATTTCAATGCAAATTTCTTTCACCTGCTGAAAATGAAACAGGCTAAATGTTGAAGGTTGTTGTCTTAAATGATACGGGAAAAAAAAAAAAAAGATATCCATGGAGAAAATGCAATTCTAATAGTCATCATGAGAGCATTTGCTTCAAAAAAATTAAATTTCAAACTGAAAGTTCACCGAATGAAAGTGTTATAACAAAAGAAAATGACAGTACATTGCAAACAATAGTTTTGTTTGTATCACACTGCAAACAAATAAGACACAAATTCAGTTTTATTACAAATATGCATATGTCCTGTGAGAATTTTAATGTCATATATGTTGAAAATCATCAGGGTATTATTTGATAATGCTTCAATGTATCCTTTACCTTGAAATCATAAGTGGAGTTAAAACTTCAAATTATATGAAAAGAGAATTTGTGCATATGCTTTGAAATCGCAATCCAGAAGGATAATTATAATGAGTTGCACCCTAGATAGATCAGTACAAGAAGTGTTAGAATGCTGCTAAGATGAATTCGACCTATATTTTGCTGACAGTGTGAAGCCACTTAACGTTTTGATACAAATGGAGCACTTTTAGGAAATAAATTCAGGTGGATGTGAAAAGATAAGCAATAATTTAATTGCCATCAAGGCTTTATTTGGAACTTCAGTTCAAGGTCAGGTATCAATGAACAGTCATCCTAGTGAAATATGCAAGTGTAACTTTTCTGCCTACAGCCTTCAAGCATAGCTAGCTACAAAAGTAAACAACAGAGTATTAATGATGGGTTCAATGACTATCAAATAAATAAAGAATTGAAGAGGTTTGACAAACTGATAGCTTGGGTGTTGTATCTCAGTTTGAGTGAAATTCATCGAATCACTTTGATGTTATGAAGCAATTTGAAACAGAAATAATATTTGAGGGTAAAAGATACGAAACTAGATTGATTACCAAAATTAGATACGAATTTTAGATTAAAAAAAAGACAAATTAAAGACTACTCAGTTTAAAGAATAGACATAACTTCTCCCTTTATGAAGAATATAAAAGGATTATAAATGAGCAGTTAAATAAAGGTATTAAAGTGGAAATAAATCCTGAACAGAAATATTTTAAAATAAAATGTATTATTTGTCATATCATCCTGTCATTAAAAATAACAATGAAATTAAAATTAAGAGTAATTTAAGAGTAGTTTATGATGCTTTGGCCATAGAGCTAAACAGCTTGTCTTTGAATGATAATCTTTTAAAGGGACATCTGTATTCTAATATTTTCTAACTACTTTTAAATTTCAAAAAAATATAGTCTTCATGGATGACATCAGAAAGACTTTCTTACAAATTTTCATTGTGGAAGCCAATCAACACTATCAGAGATTTCTATGGTTTGATTAACTTGCATCTGGGAAACTGAAAATTTGTCAAATTACGAGAGTCACGCCTGGAGTGATGTCTAGGCCTTTACTCTTAGCAGTAACAATACATATGAAAATATGACCTATTGCAACACTTTTTCTGCATCATCTCTCCTCCTTGAAATAATTCTAACTTTTACATAAGGTTTAGTTCTTATTTTTAAAGGGATATAGTAATTACTTCTACTTCTTTTTCACTGCCTCTGTTTGTATTAAGAACGGACTGTTCCAGTCTAATTAAGATGCAAAAACGAAACTTGATGTTACATCACCTGTAAAGCTGAGGTCGTGCTGACAGCTGATTGGCTGCCGTGAGATGACATCATGTCTACTTCAGGTATAAGTATCTCGCATCGCTCTGGCTTATTGCTTCATACAGAAGATTCCACCATTAATCTTTTGTGTTGCTGTTGATTATTAAAGAAATTATTCTTTCTGTTTACAGCGTTGCTTTATTCCTGCGATTTTGTGAAGAAAGGGAAAAAGACGTTGCTCTAACTGCTGAAGCTGATCCTCAGTTGCTGTCGTCTCTTCTTGATGTTCACGATAAGTATGTTTTCATTATTCTTTTCACCATTAGGTTAAAAGTTAGGATTCATGCCTATCATGGACAAGGAGGAGATCGAAAACCGTATCAAATCTGTTTGTAATCACAGAAATCTGGAAGTTACCAGCGATAACTTAGAAAAACTTAAGCAACTTATGCTTTCGAGTTTCATGCTTATCAAAATTCATTTAATCCAAATCATGCGACTGAAGTTCACTTAGCTCACGTCAAGGCTATGGAAAAGGATATACAAATCTTCTGCTAAATGTTTTTATAACTTTAAACTTTGCTTTTGCATCAGAAGCATACAGGATTTTAAATGAATCCTTATATGATAACCTTCTGTTGGCATGAGCAAATTCTGGTAAATAGGTAGCAATAAATTGGAAAAAATGGCAAACTAATCTAAAGGAGCTTTTGAAAATTTGGAATGAAACAGGATTTGAAAATCCTTCAATTTCTAAAAACTGTAATTTACCACTGCAGGTAATGGGTATTGCTTGGAACACTTGGAACATTTGGAACAGTCAACAGCTTGGAACAATTGGTCAATGTTTGGAATACATGCAGAAATTGTCCAGAGATTATCTACATAACCTTCAGTAGAGAAGTAAATGGTTCTTTCAGAAGGATAATTTAAAAATAGGTACCCTTGTATTAATTAAAGAGGATAAACTACCTCTACGCCCTTAGATAGTAGACTGTATCCATGATACCACCCCTAGAAGCAACGGTAAAATCTGTGCTGTTGTCAAAACCCCTCAAGGACTGATAAAACGTGGAATACCTAACATATGTATTCTGCCTACGAATGATTGAAGTAGTAAAATTGTATTATAATTCCTTGTATTAATATTGCATGCTTTTTCTATTCTAAAATTCAGTTTGTTTGTTTGTTTGTTTGCTTGTTGAACTGATATATTATCTTTAATTGTTAAGAATACATATCTAACTTGAATGTCTTAAAATGTATATTAGTTTTGAAATTAGTATTTCATCTGCTAAGCAAAAAACCTTCTCCTTTACCATTACTGCCTAACAACAATTTTTTTACAATGTGTTGCGCCAATATAGCTTTTTTTCTCAATACTAATGCTTTGATATATTGATGCTCGTTTCACTTTTGAATTGCTGTTATTGAGTGGTTAGATTCTGAATAAATAAAGGATAAGTTTCAAAGGAAATTAGTTTCATTATTTCATGGTTACAGTCCACAACAAAGCAATTTAAGATTTTTCATATTTTTATGAAGTGCTATACTCTAAAAAAGGCATGTGACCCAGCTTTACTGTGGAAAATCAGCGACTGAGAATTATCCAACTTATCTCTTGAAACAATAGTTATTTACAACTTTTCTGCAAATATCCTTAGCAGTTAGAAGATTATTATGCAAAATGATAAAATACTCACTTTTCTTTTAAAACACCCAAGTTTGGCTTCCATTCAGCATCTATTCCTACAACATTATAATTCTAAAAGATAAAAGGGAAAAAAAATCAAAGATCAAATATTATTTTTACTTAAAATTTTGAATTGCTTTATAAAAATTTTTAATGAATATTATAGTTTTAAAAAATGAATAAAAAACAATTTGGGGTAACTTATGCATTTAAAGATCCACGACAATATGTGCAAAATACATTTTATAAGAACAAGAAAGATGAAAGAATAAAAGTTGATTTACTAAAATGTGTTACAAATAAATGTGTATTCCATACCATACAACTATCATGGCCTAAATAACTTAAATGTACAGTTATTTCTTACTGAGTTTGATTTCTGATGATGGAACAGATTGGCTTTCTCAGTGATATGAATACAAACAGGTTTCTTCATAGAGTTCTACAAAGAGTACCTCACTAGATAAGTATTCTTCACATACTACTGATTAACTAAATGAATACCAAAAATAAATAAATAAATAAATAAATAGAATTTTCCAATAATTTAATGTAATAGCAGGTGATAATTCAGAATAAATTATATCAAAACCAAACAAAAGGTTGAGACAATTGAATGTGATCAGTTGAGAAATGTCTAAGAAATGAGAAACTTTTTCTTAATATGGCCAAATTTCTAAGAGCATTTATTATAAAAAAAAAAAAAAAAAAAAAAAATTCAACAAATTCCTAGAAAACACTTTTGCAAAACAGAACAGATCTTTAAAAATAGGCTGCATTTACAAAAATGCATATTATATTAGCAATAAATAATTATAAAAATATTGTTTCTGAATTATTAATGTCTTTCAATTAGAAACTACAAACTTTATCAATATTCCACTGAAGTTACTACTTACTTGCTTACTCCTTTACAACTTTTTAATTTTCTACAATATATAGCCCCCTTTTTTTTCATATCTCGATTTTAAAAGCCAAAATGATGCATCTCAATGTATTTTCAAACATGTAACTTTTATAACAGATACTGTATTTGAGTTAGGAGCTTAAACTCAATAATGTCCCTTAATACTTTTAAACTGCATTTGGGCTATTGACAGTTTCTACTAAGGTATAAAACTTGGAAAAACTTTATTCTTGAGATCATCATTCATGTTGACTGCAAATCTGCCAAGTTAAAATCAGGTTTTCTAATGAAAATTTTCAGTTTAATTGTACTAACTTGACCATCTTAGCAGTTTTTCTCTCAGGATCTGCAAACTAGGAAAGCTAAGTGTTAAATCATGGCATGTACTCTTGGGTCATGCAACAAACAATTTTAGATTTCATTATATATTCAATTTTACCCCCCCCCAAAAGGCATTGTTTTATTGGTAGAGGAATGGTTTTTGTGAAACATATATATCCTGAACTATTTACAGCCCTAAAGCTATACGACTTGGCACTTTTTCTGTTTTGGCATAATCCGTCAGCACCAGATTTGTTTGAAATCTTTCCTAGCAATAACTGTCTTTACAACTATTGGTTGCACAACCACAGTTTCCATCTAATCACACTTTCTTCCCCCACCCTTTCAATACATTTTCCCATTTGGGATTTAGAGCCTTTTACAGCAAATAATTTTTGTTATTTCATTGATCTAAATGCTTGCATTATATCCCTCTGTTGAGTACTAATGGGGTAGTGCAAAATGGCTCAATAAATACTAAAAAGGCACTGTCACCAACATTTAAACTCATATTTAACTGAATTCATATAGCATTGATTGCATCCCAAAGGAGAGTCAGCAGTACTAAATGCCATTTTTAATTTTAGCCCGCTGTAAGTGTTTAGTATAATATTTATTAATTGCCATATTTTTTTAGTTCTGTGCATTTTCTTTAATCATTTAAGAAGCAATAAATGTACTTAGCCATTTCAACATCTGTTTTTATTTTAGGCTTTAGCACTTTCTGAATATCTGCAACCCAAAGTCAGCAATAAGTTACTAATTTGTTTCCAACTTTAGAGAGCATTCAAGAACTCGTTAACAATTATTTTTTTGCAAAACGTGTGAAATGCAACAGCCATTTTCCAAACGGCACTCCACTAAGAATACATAAAACAGCAATCAATCAATAAATTTAAACAAAAAGGAATATTGGTAAAAATGTCTTTTTTAAGAAATGCTTCTGTAGGTTTTTTTTTTTTTTTTTTTTTTTGCATAAGTGTGTGTTTGCATGTGCTGTCATTTTCCCGATATATGCAGTGATCTGTTTTTGCTTAATAAAATCACAGAAACACACAAATTTGACATGTCCTATATTCATACCTGGGTTGCCACATAAATACTTTTGGGAGACATCAGGCATTGCCATATAACTATTTTGACAACATACTGCTTTGTCTCATGAATACATCTTCCATGATTTTTTGGTAGGGATGTGGATAATCAGAAGGTACTAATGTAAGAGGGTTTCCGGAATGAAACTAACAAAAATCAAAGAAAAAAATCCAGCAACAGAAATTTAATGTTTGAAAAAAACAGAGAAAACTTTAAAAAAGAATTTTGAGGGGGAACATCTAATACCAAGCCATAGGTAAAGATACAAACTAAAATGTGCCAATATGGTACCCAAAATATGTATATTTAAAAAAAAAAGTATCTACTAATCTACATTTAAGCCAATTTAATAATACTTGGGAACTTTATTAAATTTGCATAATCTTTTCAGTAGTGCTGCTAATTTATGAAAAGAAATGAGATCACTTTCAAAAAACTGCTGTAGCGCAAAAGGAGTAATTGAAGTGTTGGCTTTATGATTAGCAATTTTTTTACTATAAATAAGCACCTAAACATATGTTAGCCAAAGTTGAGGCTTGATAATCAGAACCTTATCTACGGGAAGCACTCTAAATATCTTAAGTTTATTCTTGATTCTGAATTTACATGCCACAACCATATTAAACATATTCACTAGTACAAAGTAAGAAATGACAAAACATTCTTAAATGCATCACGGATAGGGACTGGGGACCTGAAGCAACTACCCTCAGAACTACTTATTTGGCACTCATTCGACCCACAGTGGAGTTTGGGTTTCCAATTTATTGTTGTGCCTTTACTTTATCAAAAGAAATTAGAAAAAGTTTAATTAAGTGCAGCTCATATCATTACCGGTATAAAGCACAGCTGCCCTACAGAAATACTTCTTTTTGAGGCCAATTTGAAACCTCTCCAGACTAGAAGACTAGCTGGCTTTGTTAAATACTCTAAGAAACTCTCTAGTTATGGCTAATACAATTAAACCAAATAACTTCAACAAACTTCTAAATAAGAAGAAAAACTGGCAAAAACTAAAGAAAAACAGCTCTTTTAGCCTACTTGAGACTTGGAGCCTACTTTCTTACAATGTTCAGCCCCACTTACTACAATGTTGTTTAAATCCATTGGATGGATTCTGCAGAGTTCACTTGCACTGTAACTTTACTATTCCTATAGATAAGAAGAGTTTTATCACTGACTACCTAAGACAGTTAACTTTGGACACAACAAGCACCATTCCCAAAAATGCTATTAAAGTCTTCACAGATAGCAACAAAACTGCTGACCATGCATGTTATATAACATATAAATGCCACTACTTGCATATATTTAGAGACACTTGGGGGGGTGGGAATGACTATCATCATAATTCAAATCACTGTTTTGTTTGATTCTTTTATTAAAAGTGAACTGATAGCAATCAATTTGGGGCTCAAGATTTTACTAACAGAAAAGAATTTTGGTGAACTATGGATTTTATGAGATAGCAATAGCTCACTACAACATCTTGATACTTGTATTTATTAAAAATCATGTTCTTTGCACTCAAACCATAAAATTCTATTCAGTAGCAATGTCGCAAAATAATTTAAAAATGAGCATATCTTTAGAATTTCCGATACACAGTTCCGTGCCTGCTAGAGATAAAAAGGTATTTCCCCCCCTGGCCGTAGAGTGTTGCCATTGCTTGCTTTTAAATTGTTGAGTTTTTTACTCAAAAATTCGTTAAAGTTTTACAAAATATAAAATCGATAATAAAACAAATTCCAAATTTCAAATTTGGTCTTCCACATGCCCATATTCATAGGAGGATTACGTCATTCAAAATTCAATGGCTTTAGGTACCATTGTTTTATCACAATGCGAGAAAGAGACATACATTTATGCAGATTTTTTATTATTTAATTTCTTCAAATATAATGCAAGACTCAACATTTGGTGGCAACAGTTTGAAAAGTGAAATGGACATTTATAGTGATTCGATGCAAAATCACAAAACGAAAACAATAGTTCTTCAGGGACAAAGCCCCTTTGGACTAACAATAACTGAACACCTGGCTGTTAAGTTAATAACATCTAATAGATCTCGTTCAGTTCTAGCTACCTATTTCATATATCAAGTAGTTTAGGTTTTGTCTTCTTTGAGAAGGAGGACATAATTCTGAAAAAGCAATAACAGAAGAACGAGAGAATATTTGGAAAGGTGTGATGATAATTATACATATGTTAATGTAGCATTTCAAAGGGGATACAGATGTACCAATCAGAATCTGAAGAAACTGATGTAAAAAGCAGTTAATGTACAAAGTAGTAACCTCCCATTTGTCGTGCACTGATGGATAAAAATCATAAATTTATAATGAGATGTTAAAAACAACAATGCCCATATGGCCCATATGCATAAAAAATACTATTATATTATTTCCTCATAAATGGACTCTGCAGGGAGACTTGCGAGCTTATTTAATAAAGCAAAGATATAACTACTTAAAACACAGTTGCTGTACATTTAATATCACTGGATCGCTTGCCTACAAGGTTTGCAACAAATATTTCCCTTATATATCAACACTTTCTATTTCTTCAGCTCAGTAACTTCTTGAAATGAAAATAATAAAATATCTAGGAGAGGTTTCCTTTGAATGTTGAAAAAACAGAAAATAAGTATTAATAATATTATTTGTCATTATTTTCTGACGTGGAAAAAAAAAGTTATATAATACAGTACAAAGTCCGCAATTTGGACGTCCATTATCTGAAATGATAT